CCCCCACTTCCTATACAAGCGCTCTAAATTGGTTGGTTTGTTATTGGACTTTGTACTCTATTTCACTTCACTTCCAGTGGAAGAACCTCATACATCATTTATTCTACCCTTTCATTTTAGACGTGAGGAAACAGCACCAGAGTTTCTATCAAAGGAAACTGTTCTAAACCTGGGGTCCCCACATGTATGTAAGGCATCTATGGATGGGCTTCATGCAGTCTGTATAACTTCTGAAAAAACTGTTAACTTTTGTGCGTGGACTCATTTTTCTAGGATATTCGGGTCCACACTTTCTTTTATCATATTCTCAGAGGGGTCTGTGCCCTGTAAGAGGTTAAGAACTATGATTTTAGAGAGTATCCAATATTTTATATCACATGACTTTGAAAAAAAATCACATAAGACAACAAGTCACATAAGGTTCAGAACAGTTAGTGATTTCAAGGCATTCTTGGCTCTTTGGTAAGAAGATTCATTCAAAGGATGAATTATGAATTGCCTCATAGTCATCATTTTAAATCTATGGGTTGGATATTTTCCTTTAACATGCTATCATAAGAATTCTCTAGGGCTAAGGGAAATTCTCCCTTCCTACAATTCTCTCCCCCAGGTGTGTCCCTTGGGAGACTTGTTTCTCCTTTTCACCTTTACCCAAACAAGACACTTTAACAGAGCTGAAGGCTTGATTCTTTACAATGTCTGCTCCTCTACTGAATAAAAGTAATGCAAAGTAGTAGGTAAGTACACCTGGATAATAAAGAAAAAAAATTTTTAATTGGGAAACTTTTTCCAGGACTCCTCAGCTCCAAGTCAATTGGTTGTTTCAATCTAGTTGTAGAGGGTGCAGTTCCTTGGCCCGTTTGGAAATTGAACTGGCAACCTTGGTGTTATGAGCCTGTGCTCTAACCACCTGAGCTAACTGGCCACCCCCAACACCTGGATAATAAAACTACTTTAAGGCCCTTCAAAATATATTCATCAGGTATCCAGTCTAGTATAATGTTGCTTAACTTGAATTTGGAAGTCTATTTCCTTCCTCAGATTTGGGAAGTTTTGGGCCATTATTTCTTTAAATATTTTGTCCCTTCTTCTGGAAGTCCCATTGTGCGTATATTGGTCCACTTTCTGATGTCTCATAAGTGCCTTAGGCTCTTCACTTTTCTTGTGTTGTTTTTTTTTTTTTTGCTTCTCTGATTGTATAATTTCAAATGACCTGTCTTTAACTTTGTTGATCCTTTCTTCTGCTTGATCAGGTCTGCTGTTGAGCCCCTCTAGTGAATTTTTCACTTCAGTTATTGTATTCCTCAGCTTCAGAATTTCTGTTTGGTTCTTCTTTATAGTTTCTATCTTGTTATTAATAGTCTTACTTTGTTCATGCAATATTTGCCTGGTTTCACTTAGTTGTTTATGTGTGTTCTCATGCAGATCTTTAAAATTCTGGTTTTGAATTGTCAGGTAATTCCCCATTTCTTTACAGTTGGTTTATGGAGATTTATTTTGTTCCTTTTATTGGGCCATGTTTCTCTGTTTCTTTTTGTGCCTTCTCAATTTTTTTATTTTTTTCTGAATTTTGTGCATTCAAAAAATTAGCCTCCATCAATCTTTACGGACTGCTTTGCAGAGGGGAAGACCTTCACCAGTCAGTCTGGTTAGATTCCGGGGACCTCTGGAACCTTTTGGGGGCTAAGGGATGGGACTTGTCTGGGCTTGAGGGTGTAATTTGCCCATTAGGGAGGTTTGCAAATTTTTTTCCCAGGAGCTCATAATCTCTTGCTCCCTCTAGTGTGTGTCTGCAGTATTGCAGGTTCTTTGGTGCTGCAGCAGGAAGCCACCCCACTCTCTTTTCTCATTGGCCCCCAGGCATCCAAATTACATCTGCTTCCCATCAGCCCCACAAGTCAGCCAAGACCAGTTCCTCGGGCAACCTTCCAGAAAACTGAAAGACCAGACACCCTGTTCTTCCTCCCTCCCAAGGATGAAGCTGTGAGTTGGGCACTTTCCCGTGACTGAGCTTGGACTGGAGTACTGCAGACCCTCTGGTACGAAACTATGCCAGTTCCATCAGCACTCCAAGTGAGGCGAGACAGAAAACCAGTGACTTGGACAGCCCTCCAAAACATTGGCTCTTTTGACAAACTTTCCTGTCTTCTCACTCCCTATGGTGGAGAAACCACAGGCCAGGGGCTGAGCTGTGCTAGCTTGGGGAAGGGGTGGTGGCAGGCAAAGCAACTGGCTCTTGTCTGTTTCAGTGTGGCTTTGCCCTCAGTTCTCAGCTTTGCCCTCGCCTAGGATACTGCAACTTTCTTACCTGGCTTCTGAAGTTCTCACAAAGGTATTTTGGTCCACATGTTGTTAAATCAGTGTCTCTGGAGAAAAGAGAGCTGGAACTTCCTATTCCTCCATCTTGTTAAGCTCTCCTTCAAAATGTTTCTTAATTCTTATCTGAGTTTTAATATCGTGAGATATGATAGTGAAGGAATAATGTTGAAAAGCAGCAGCATGGTCAGAAAATACTAAGTGGCCTGAAAGTAAAGTCAGGACCAGAGAAGACAAAACACATTATTGTTCATAGGAAAAACTTTCTTAAGAGCCTGGCGGAATTATATTCAGGAAGCTTATTAGGAGCCTGCCATTCATACTCAGCACATATTAGGTGACCGTCTACTGTGTGTTGATCAATGGTCTACTTGCCAAAAGGCACTGTCTTTGTGGAACTGATTGTATTTGGAAAACAAATGATATACTTTTAATATGAGCTGACTACAGTGTAAGGGTGAAAATGATATGGTTCCTAGCCTTGAAGAAATTTAGTCCACTGACAATACAAATGGGTAAGAAAACATTTGCAATATCTTGTGTCTTAGGCTGTTGTAGGGTAAGCCTTATTGTTGAAGATTAGTGGACGAAGGAGGCTGAAGAAAGCTGCACCAAAAAACGTATCTAACCTGGCCTTGATTAAAGAACTCATACTCATCAAAAAGTTTATTCCAAATTCCTCAAAAGTCAAAGAAAAGGCATTATTAAAGCAAAGAGTACAGCTGAATGTGGGTACAGCTCACTAGACCCAACATTAGAACCAACAGTGGGGCAATGAGGGACAGTTTTAGCAAAGACTTCAGGTGGGCATATTCAGAAGCTAGGTCAGGGTTTTAAATTTTTTTTCGGGCCAGCCGAGTGGCACGTTGGTTAAGAACTGGCTTGGGATCCCAGAGGGCCCCGGTTCGGATCCCACATATGAGGGCCAGTGACACTGCCCTCTACAGCTAAGATGCTGAACAACAGCTCAACCTGGAGCTGGGCTGCCGTGAGTCGCCAGAGACGGCGTAGGCTGCAGCCCCTGTGGCAGTGGGTTTCCATGGGCTACCGTATGTAGCCAGCAGCCAGCGTGAGTGGCCAGCAGCTGCAGTGAGCGGCCATCCAGAAGCCGGCAACTGATCTGCCTCGCCTGGGAAGAGCGCAATGATGGTGCCAACTTGGGCCAGTGAAGCAATGTCCTCCACAACTAGACTGAAGAACAAAAGGACAGCAACTTGTTTGTTCCCCTTCCCCCCAATTCCCCAGCGCTGTTCCCATCCCCCAATTCCCCAATAAAAATCTTTAAAAAAAATTTTTTTTCACAGGATAATTTTTGCTATCCATTATAATTGAATTTCTAATAATTATTAACATTTATTAAGTACAAATGTAGCACATTGTGGTGATGGTTTCACATGCTGAGTCCTTCTTCCTCACACCATCCCTGAGGGAGGTGCTACGGTTACCTTCATTTCACAGCTGAGAAAACAGGTTTGGGGAGTTAAGTGACTTAGTTAACTAAGGAGGGGGAAATGTGAGAGCTACCTTCATCTTTCTGACTCTACGATGTTTGTTCTTAACCACTATGACTGTTAGGAATACACTTAGCTCCAAGAACAAAAAACCTTAAAAAAAAGTAAAGTTTATTTTTCTCACTTAAGAAGTCCAGAGGATTTAGTCTAGGGCTCTTATCTTGAGGTTGTCTTCAGGGAATCAGGTCTCTTTTCTTACCCTGCTGTCCTTAATGTGTGCCTCTGACCTCACACCAAGACACAAAATGGCTGCTATGTCCCAAGGCATCATATCTGCATTCCAGGAGTATAGAAGGGAAATAGCAAAAGTCAAAAGGATTTCAGAGAGGCCTTACCTTTCTAAGAGGATAGCCCTCCTTAGAAATTCTAGCCTGCATTTCATTGGCCAGCCAGCTCTAGCCGCAAAGAAGGCTAGGAATTCAGAGTTTTGCTTTCCAGTCTTTATAAAGTAAAAGGCAAAAGAAAGCGAGCTGGGTGGGTGTTGAGTGAGCCAACTTAAATAGTACATGGAAGAAATAACCTACAAAATCACTCTGCCCAATTACACGCCTGGTAAAATGTAAGTTATTAATCCTAGCATTGAGTGCTCACATGATCTAGTCCTTTCTTTTCCATATGTTCTCTCTGTTCTCTTCAGCCAAACCTGATTGTTTTTTCTCTTATCCAACATGTATTTCCACTGAAGTTCCCCACTTCCTTCCCCTCAGTAGTCAAAATGGCTGCATTCTGCAACTAAACATGTATTAGTGTTAGAATAGACTGAGCGTGACAATATAACCAAAACTATACCTTAAACACGAGAGAATTTTTATTTTTCTCCCTCAAAACGCTCTAGGTCAAGGGCCAGGAAGGAAGCCTCCAGTATCTCCAACGACCTGGGTTTCTTGTATTTTGTTGGTATGCTATCTTCCACAGGCAATTTCTGGCTCATTCAATTTTGAGTGCCCCAGGACAGCACATAGTAGGTATAAACAAATGACAAGGAATTAGAGAGGTTAGAGTGAAGGAATAAAAAAGTGCTTTTACACTTTTCACCTTCTGCTTGGAGTTAACAGTTCTACCCAAGCTCCACTAGATGGCAGCACATACACATAAACAGTGTATGAATGTGAGACGCCTAGTACTAAAAACTGAGGAACCTGAACTACAAGTCCCATCATGCACTTTTAAGCACCTGACTTGGTTCTGTACAAAAGTCTCAAGTTTGTTGCTCGCTCAGTGATCTGGAGGACGCCATCCACTTGCTGCTCTAAAGTAAGATTTCCTAATATATTTTAAATGCAACTTTGGACTGGGAAAAGGGGAGGTTGAATTTTTAGATGTTGATTTGTTCTACACATTACCTATTTCAGGATTAATCTCAGCAGTTAATTCAGGATAAAGGTGTGTTTTTACCAAGTTTGAAACTCTGGTATATTAGTTTTTCAAAACAGCCAAAGAAGAGAGAATTTTACAGTGTCTTAAGTGAACATTTTTCTTCTTGGCCTATGAAAATAGAGTTCCTGAAAATACTCTGTGTCTCTGCTAATGGGAAATTGATGATTCCAGTATTTAGAGTAAGAAAGCCATCATGTGTGCTTTTTCACGTTGGATGTTTTGAAAGTTGCCTTATTTTACCGTTTCAGGTCACTTTTGCACTCATTTCCCCACATAAATCCGTTTTAGTTTGATGGTGCAGTTTTACCTAATAGTAAGGCTTTGGCTCCAAAATCCGGTCCCAGAAAGACAGGGAGGCCCTTGGGGGAGGTTTTCAGAGGGAGCAAAGCGGCTGTTGTGTGCCTCAGCGATGATGCAGGATACTTAGTGTCAGAGGCAGACGCCTGGCATGTGCCTTCGCAGTACCATGTGCCAAAAGTCACTAATAACAACGGTGTAAAGTAATAGCTTTTTACAACACCGTGCTCAAGATTGGGTGGGGGTAAAGATTATTGGAATCTCTTACTTTCTAAAGTATATATTGAATGTATCTCTTAACTCTTTCCATGATTGAAGTGAAAATGTATCACTCGTGCAAGGAGAAAGAAACAACAGTGCAAATTCATTGCCTCAAAGAAGGACTGGCACCATAAAAGCCCAGCTTCTGTCGCATAACACACGTGCACTAAATCAGAGAACATCCCGGTGAAGTTGTCAGCTGGTCCCTGGAGGCAGTTCTAACGTGTTGTTAGGCCCTCCGAGGACTCCGAGATAGAGTTAACCAGGCATGGATTTTATTAGGGGGAGCGGTGATGTGGAAGAAAATGAGGAGGGAACTACGAGGTCTGGGACAGCCGGCAAAGCACGACGGAAGTCCGTCCTCAGGGGGAAGGAGAGGGGTGCCTGACGGTGGGAGCATCCAGATAGCCAGCCTTGAGGTTTGCGGGAGGGTCGGGGAGGCCGGCGGGAGGAGCGCCTTGTCCCCCTAGCAATGGGTCCGCTTGAGTGTTTGCGCCACATTCATACACTGCCCACAAGAAAGTGGTCTCAGTACCAACTCAGCGATGGGTTTCAGAGCGCGGGTGGGCTAGTGGTCAGTTACCGGCTGGGGTCCGGAGGCACAGGCCCCTGGCACCACCTGGGGTCCACTGGGTGTGCGAATGAACCAGGTCTTCTCTTGAAACTGCAGTCAGGAGGCCTGGATTTGAATTCACAGCAGTAAAACACTGGGTGAAGCGCATAATTTCTTTGAGGTCAGTGCATTGGCGACCAGGCCTGGTCTCATCTCTTAAATACTCTCTTATCCACCCCCTTCTGCTCCTGCCTGCTCGCCCCCTGCCCAGGTCAGTTCTCCACAGTGACCTTTCTAAAATACATGTCTGATCATGTCGCTTTCTTTCCATACATCCTTCAGTGTCCAATGCCCACAGAAGTAAGCCCCTCAGCAGGTGGACCTTGGACAAAGGGAGGGATTGAAAGAGAAGTGCCCTTTGTTTACAGCAAAAGGCCAAGCGTGGCTGAAGAGAACAGAGATCAGTTCAAAAAGAAAGGACTAGATCATGTGAGCTCAATAAGCAAGACTAGCTAGCTACCTGTACTTCATCAGGCAGGTCATTGAGCAGAGTGACTGTGTAGGTTATTTGTGCATGTATTATTTAAGTTTGTTCACTGGACACCCACCCAGCTCACCCTCACCTCCCCCCCCCGCTTTTTTTTTTGCCTGGAATGTTTCTATGATGCCATCTTGTGACTTGGTGTGAGGTCAGAGGCACACTTAAGGACAGCAGAGTTAAGCGAAAGAAGTTGGTTCCTTGAAGACAGCCTCATTTAATCATCATTTGACTCTTCACCACCCCCAACCTCATCACTAGCCATTCCTCTCACCCTGAGACCTACAATCCAAGCACTGGCCAAATAGCTCACGCACATCACATGTCACCTACATCCGAATTTCTCAGTCCTCTCTGTTAAAAATTACTGATCGTATCTGTTAAAGTGTCACTGCTGCATGCTTTAACTTTAAAAGAAGATCAGCAGCGTTGTGGGATGGGATGTTCACATAGCAAGAGTCAGGACAGCTGAGTTTAGTTCTGGCTCTGCTGCTGACCAGCTCTACGACCTTGAGCAGGTCAGGTCAATTTCCTCATCTGTAAAGTGGGGGCACTGACATGATTTGATTTCCCAATTCTCTTGTTCAATGAGTGTCTAAGGGTAATGGTGAAATCTTTCCAAGGGACAAGAAAAAAATCATAGACTATTGATAGTGCAAACCCTGACAAAAGTTTATAGGAAAGAAAGCGAGAAGCAGCCCAGGTAGTAAGGACACACAGCGCCGTAGAAGTGTGTGCCGGAACAAGGGGGAGGTGGTGGTCAGGGGGAGGATTCCACTCCTGCTGGACCAGCATCAGAGGCCCTTTTCTCCAGGTACTGAAGTAACGAAAGTTAGGTTAAAGTTTGGTGTCTCTCTGCCCCAGTTATCACTCCAGTGGGTTATGCTAAATGTTTTTGATATACAAGGTATTCAGAGTAAGCATTCTTGGAGAAGTCAGATGGTGGAACTGTTTGTACAGAGGAGCTATCTTCAAGTTCTTAAAGGTGTATGTTGAACCATTCATTCTACAGTAAATGTTACTGCCAGTATAGGGCTATGGACTACGGTGTAAGCCATTAAATACATCTGTCTTTAAATTAAATCACAGGTTCCATTATGGGTCGACTTGATGGGAAGGTCATCGTCCTGACAGCTGCTGCCCAGGGGATCGGCCGGGCAGCTGCCTTAGTAAGTTGCCATCTCGTTGTTGCTCACTAACTGTTGAGGTATTGAATTATGTAGACAGATTCCATGGTTATTTAATTCTGCTCTACTTTTTTTTTTAATTGACTTTTGTGCTTCTGTTGTCTAAAGTTACAAAACAAAAAGCCACCACTCCTGACCCCAGGCAGATGAAGGAAAGAATAGCTCACATGTTTGTTATGTGACATCACTAACAACTTTTGACTCTGAGAAATTTATTTCTCTGCCTCAGTTTCTTTGCTCCATAATAAATTTACTGCAGAGGCACTAGAGGAGTGCATAGCTTTCTGAAATTATGTCAATTCAGATAAAGGACGCCAGCTTTATAAGACTATCTGGTTACCTTCACCTTCTAATTTATATCAACATTATACCCCCTACCCGAACTAATCAGGCACTTTAAGAATAGTGGCAGGGTATTGTTTGACATTTATGAAAACAGTAGTATAACCTTAAGAGGAAAAATGGTGAAATAACCTGTTTTTCTCTTATTTGGAATGTAGTAAGAACCTGCTCAGAAATGAAATGTAGTCTATCAAATCACAGAATAGTATTTTGAGAGGTGTTCATAACAGAGTTTTAGTTTTTTAAAAACACTATTTTGTTTGATATTACTTAAAGGGACAAAGTCAGATGACAAGCACAATGTATGTCACATTGTTCTAATTCATGATAAAAATAATAACAATGGGAAGGGTGAAGTGAGACTAGATAGTTTGAAATTCCACCTGTTTTATATGGGGAAAAGCAATGAAAATAAGCAATAAAAGGGAAAAGGCTAAGTGGCTTTCCATTCATGAGGACAGCTAAACCTAGTAAACAAAAGATTTATTTGTGCATTGTGTCTACCAGGCTTTTGCAAGAGAAGGTGCCAAAGTCATAGCCACAGATATCAATGTGTTCAAACTTCAGGAACTGGAACAGTACCCGGGTAAGTAATTCAGCCACTTAAACTTGGGATTCAGCGTCTACAGAACAACAGTACTCATATGTGCTGAAAGGGAATTCCTTAGCTGCTGAGCTCCACTGGCCTCCTTTTTAGAGCATGACTCTGCTATCAAATTTATATTCTGTGACCCTACAGACAAAATCTGCACACTTAAATGCATAAACAAAAGTTTAGATGTATACTTAAAATTTTTCATTTATCCAACATGTGGAAGGATTCAGTACCTAATAAGAAAATTATATGTAAAAATTTAACGGTTGTTACCTTTTCATGACAACTTTTCACTCCCATGCCCTCCTCCCCTAAGGGCAGTGCTGACCAATAGAAACACAACGTGAGCCATATGTGTAGTTTTACATTTTCTAATTTTTCTAGTGGCTACATTAAAATGTAAAAGGAAACAGATGTAAATTCATTTACTAATATATATTTTATTTAACTCAATATATCTAAAATAGTATCATTTTCACATAATCAAAAAATTATTAATGGAATAGCTTACATTCTTTTTTTCATATTAAATCTTTGAAGTCCATGTGTATTTTACACTCACAACACATTTCAGTTCAGACGAGCTGCATTTCAAGTGCTCAATAGCCACAGCTGGCTAGTGGCTACCTTAGGCGACACCTCAGCCCCAAAATCATATATCATGATTAGAAACCCAAAGAGATGACCCAAATTATTTAGGTGTGTATCATCCTTTACTCTGCCACACTGAATTCAACTCCAATATCAAAGAACTTCAGTCAGAGTTACTCTGAAAGAAATCAGAACAGAGAGCTCATTTGAAAATTAGCTGTTCCTACAAAACAGAACAGGTTACAGGATCAAACACCAATTAGTTCACTGATTTCGTTAACTGAATTAGACTGTGTTGAATTATCATTCCAGCACTCAAAGTAAAGCTATTGTACTGGAAAAGCACAAAGGGAAAGAAGGCTTTCTGAAACTCAACTTCAGTCTTCCCTTTCTTTGTTTATTCATATTGTATTACTACATCCAAAAGAGAATAATAAAATAAATCATATATATATTTTTTTAAACACAAAAATAATGACTGCTGCTTTCATTAGAGAAGGTTGGGGGGGAGAGGGGTGTTTAGGAACCAGTACAGTGTGTATCTCTCAGACCCTCAGCCAGATCTCTCAAGCTATCAAGTGCTTCATCCCTTCTTCTGACCTCTCATTTCTTCTCCTGCAATGTAGTCCAAAAATTAGTGATGGTACCCTTGACCAAGACAGTGATTTCAATAAATAATGCAATTGACATAAAGGTAAAACTCACAAATAGAAACAATCTCTTATCCCTCTACCCTTGCCCCTCCCTGTCAAACAGACAGAATTCAGAATTTCTGTAGCAGTTTTTACTCAGCCTCTGGGAGAAAGAATGGCCAAACATGGCCCATTTTCAGTCAGTACTGCTGGCTTACTGAGAAGCATCTAATATAGGTCATTCATACTGCCATCTAAAATCTTCACTCAGAAAAGAACTTTATTCTTCAATCCAGAAAATGGAGAGAAAGGGAGGGAGAGAGAAGTGTGTTTTTGGGAGGTCCTGATTGGGAGGACTTCAAGATTTTTACTAATGAGAGTCTTCAGACCTTACTAATTGCCAACAATCCTATGAAGCCTTACTGGGCAGATACTGCACTCTTCACACTTCCAAACAGCTGGTCTTCAAGACTAGACGCATTTTATGGGTATAGGTAAGTAGTGTCTTTTGTTTTATCTTTCAGGCATTCAAACCAAGGTCCTCGATGTCACAAAGAAGAAACAAATTGATCAGTTTGCCAAGGAAGTTGAGAGACTTGATGTTCTCTTTAATGTTGCTGGGTAATTCAGAACTTTTTTGATTTTGCTCTCCTTATAGAACGTTTTCTGTGACTTTTATTAAGAGAATTTTGATAATATGGCCAAATTACTCATTATGAACCATAATATATTTCTTGGGAAGTGTGGCCAAATTCTGGACAGAATTTTTAGTACAAGTATAGAAATTGACATGGGCTTGGGGCCTAAAGGCAATTAAGGTCTACTCAAGACAACTGATATTAATCCAAAGCTATTGATCTTCTTAAGGCTGGTAACAGGCTCACACCAATAGACTTGTCACTAATGTTCCAACAGGACTTACAAAATAAAATGAAAAACTGGTTTCCAGTAGAGTATCTTTAAAATGAAGTATATTTACTAGATGCCAAGTACTCAGTGTATTGAAATGCATATGTTCCCAATTTTTGGCACAATATTCTAGCAACTTATTTACACCTCCCATGCTCAGTGTTTTTTATTGGGACAATAAATCCCAGCACAAGAAGTTTTGTTGTTGTCCTTTTATATACAGCACAAAGAGAATGGCTTAATTATTAGGGTGGTACCAAACTTGCTGAACCCCAGTGAATGCTAGAGACTGGAACCGAAGCAGCTACATGTGAACACGGTGACTGCTGGTCCTCTCCCTTCCGAGGCATGACAGCAGAGATGAACACAATGGAAGCTTACACGGGAACGAAGTAGATATATTCTGAAGTTCCATTTTTCTTACATGCTGCTGCACTGATAGAAAAATCCTGGAGCCTTCCAATATATTTTTGTGGTTCTTCCTAACCATGCTTCAGAGTGGGGGGAGGGGGAAAATCCCAGTCTGTCCATAGTTAACCATGTGTTACAATGTATGGGGATTAAATTAAAGCAACAATTTGTAATAATCTATTTTATAAATAACCTGCTCATCCATCATATGAGAATATACCCAGAGCCATGAAAAAAAAAATCAACTAGCAAAATTAGCTTTTGAGCATCAATTAAATTTTTAGCTAAGTAAAGGATATAGAAACAGAGCATGTGTGGTTCTTGCTGTTGTTCGACTGAAGCAGATGACAGCAATCATAACCAACAGTATTTTGTCATTAATTACATCATTTTGGCCCAGGGGACAGTGAAATCAATTAGGACTCCAATTTTTAGAAAGCTTCCTAGAGGAAACGTGACTGGAAAAAGTGTGTTTATTTTACAGGTTTTGTTTTGTTCTGCTTTGTTTATTCAACGTTACAACTGTACCATATAGATATTACTTTGCTCCCCTGAGATGTTTGTTTTCCTTGCAATTTTGATTTCCCTTGAGAATGTTAAATCTGTGCCACCTGAGGGCACTGTTGTTCTTGAAAAAGAAGTCAGGGCAGGTGTCACCTTTTATTTGTGATGTGTCCTGTGTAGTTTGGTATACACCTTCTTATGTTTGGTGGCCCCAAACTCTTGTCTTCTTCTTTTAAAAGAAGGATGTTGTTTTCAAATAAATTTATTTAACTTAGGTTGTTTGGATACTTACTAACCTAATGTACTAATATTATGTTGGAATTGTTAAAAATCTTGGTAAGGGAAAGGACAATGGTCTAAGTCAATAAATCACAGTAAAAATGAGGAGGACATGGAATAGAAAAGTCTTTATAAGTGATCCCTCCCCCCAATCCCTCCTACTGTTTAATCACTATTCCAGTTTTGTCCACCATGGAACCATCCTGGACTGTGAAGAAAAAGACTGGGACTTCTCAATGAATCTCAATGTCCGCAGCATGTACCTGATGATCAAGGCATTTCTTCCTAAAGTAAGATGGCCACCACCTCTAGGATAAGCACCATTGGATAAGTAGGTCTTCTTATTGTCATATAGAAAGGATCCCACATGCACAGAGGAGTGAAATTAGTTAACATAATGACTAACCTGTGTTGAACATTTATATCAAGGAATTTAATATAAATTAACTAATTGAACTTTCCAGTTTATCCATTCAGGGAATATTAAGCACTTTCTATGTGCCAGGCTTTAATCTCGGTGCAGAGGACATATCGGAGAACTAAACAAAGTCCCTCTACAAGGGAGGTCCCATTTTTGAGGGGTGAGACAGGATAACATTTAGTCAAATTAACATATATCATGTGGGGTGGTTATAAATGCCCTGAAGAAAAAGAAAAATTTCAGCAATAAGGTGAAATTTTCATAGCGATCCTAATGAAGGGAGGGAGTGAACCATTCAGGTATCTGGGGAGAGGGTTCCAGGAATAGGGACAGCAAGGAGGCATGTGGCGCCAGACAGTCCAAAGAGGTGGGCACCACTTTATCACATCCGTGGTACAGAGGATGAGACTGGGAGGCTACGTAATTTGCCCAGGCTCACAACTAGCAAGTGGTTAGAACCAGGATTCAAACACTGAAGCTGGGCCCCTTCTTGAATTTCAGGGTCTAGGAAAACACCCTCAAGATGGATGTAGCCTATTGCTTCTCTCTACCCTGAGTATTCTGCTTGCACTCCTGTTTTTAGCTGAGCTGCAGAGATACCAGAGAGGTGGGAGACAATGTGTGCTAAAGAGAGTTGTCCTCCTTTCTGCTACCATTGAATTCTCCAGCCTTCACACACTCATCAACGTTTTTAATTTTATTTTACAAACAAGCATAAAGTACCTTTTGATAGAAAGCACCACACTAGGTGCTCTGGGGAAGGGAGGTATAAATATGAAAAACATTGACTTCAAATGATCTTATAACCCAATAGGAACAGACAGCATGGGCTCAGACAGTAAAAGGGGTTGACTGAGTACAGAACCAGTTCAATTCAAAATGGTAAGTTGAACCCTAGTGAAATGCAGAGAGCCATTCTTCTCTTCCATCCCAGCTGGATTAGATGACTGACATACTGAAAGCTGCCCAGCCGAGGGCAGGAGAAAAGCTTTTTAATGCAAGGAAGGGCGGTACTTTGCTCTGAACATTTGACCTAAGGTCCAGAAGGACCCAGATGAATGGAAAAGGAAAATGAGAAAAACTGACTTAGGAACAAAGGAGCTTTTTAAATCTACTTGTTTGTACCTAGAGGGATCTTTGGGTGGGTCCACAGAATGTTGAACAGGCATATTTTTTAAAAATATAAATTGTCTTTTTTGCTTATTGAAAGTTCATGAGACTCTATATTATTTAGAACTTGAATGTATCCTAGGCTAAGACTGATCCTTAGCATAGGATATGGGAGAGAATCAGAGGCTATGGTTAAAGGGGAAACTGTAGGTCACAGTGGGTAAGACTTGTGCACATGTATGGGACTCATTTGTCAAACAAGCCTACTTTGTGTCTGGAAAGCTTTACGGATATCAGCGAAGGAAGCAGGTTTGGGGTACAGTGGAGCTAAAATTTAAACTTGTAAGTAAGTGTTAACTTTTAAAATGCCAAACGCTAACTTGTAAATTAGTGAGTTTGCCTATGATTTAAAACATCTAAGCAATAATCCCTCTGAGCCAATAACACTCATTTGTTAAAAAAAAAATCCCGAGAGATATTAATGACTCTAATAGGAAATCAGGAGTCAGTGACATTTTTTTTTAATTTTTTTTAATGTTAGTTTCAGGTGTACAGAACAATGCAATAGTTACCATTTTCACCCTCACAAAGTAACAACCCCCCTCCCCCCATCTATTGCCCTCCCACCCCCGATATCATGCTTATCTATTACAA